AAGGGTCTGGCTGCTTCTTTATACTGAAGGTTTGATGTGAGATAATACAACTTCTGAAGATCTGAGTTTACATTTTCTTCAAGATGCCCAGTATTTCAGGCTGACCTTTGTTTTTTTTAATGCATCATTAAATAACAACAGCAGGATAGACACTTAGGCCCTATCTGCTCAAAGAAAATTAAAACTGAAAAAAAAACCCAAAAACACCTGTCTGCATCCTGTCACGTAAGGTGGTTCATGTATTAGAATAAAAAAGTGTAGAACCATTCCAAAGAAGGTACGTGATGAAAGGCATCAGTTCCCAAAGTTGAAGCCTCTTCACATTTAATGAGAGACATTTGAAGACTAGATGTTATAACCTCTGCACATGTCCCAGTCCCCACGCTGATCATGGAGTTTCTTAATTGCCAATAGACTTTTTTTGAATTGTGCCATGTTTCAAGTCTAGATGCTAAAACTGTGGCTGTTGGACCAGCAGCATCAGCATAACCTTGCAGGTTGGTAGGAGTGAAGGATCTCTGGCCCTTCCAGACCACATTGTAACAATATTCCCAGAGATTTATATGCACTTTTGAGAAGAAATTTTCTAGGACTCCTATGATGAGTTCTTGAAACACATAGCTCCTGTGTTGGAGAAAAGCAGACTCAGAATCGCTTTAAAACTTGCCTTAAAGGCTTATTCTAAATGCTCCAGAGAACAAGACTGCAATACGAACGTGGAAGGTTAGAAGGCTCCTGCTCAATGAAGACAGTTTTCTTATAAAGTGAACTGTCCCCCTGGGTTATCTAGCCTCATAAGTTCCTGAGTATAACTCCATCGACTGTGAAGGGTTTTGTAGAACAGATTCCTACTGTGTGTGAGAATTAGACAACGACACCAATGGGCCCTTCTCACAAGAAGAGCCAAATTGTACATAAACCAGCCAAATATGATGTCGTAGACTTCCAGCAAGATCATTATACACATTTTATGACTTGGTAAGAAGACTTCAATGAGGCTGCACCAACAGCTTGTTTGCAAATGAGAACACAAAGCTCAGTTTTTAAAGCTTTACAAGAAATGCCATGGCTGATGAATGGCTGCATTCCTGCCTAGGTTCCAGCTGAGCATAAACTTTGTGATTTAAAGACAACATCATCTGCAAATACCTGAACGGGGCCACAGTCACATTCTTCTCCCTCATCCAACTTCTTGTTTCCACAATGTGGGGAATCACTTAACTTATCAGAAAACGGAACATTGAACATACACGTTGGTTTATAATCTGTTAGGAATTGCATGTGCTGGATTCTGTTGCATTTACTGAACTTCAGTGCAGGAATGCTAGAGGCAGGATGAGTTAAAAATAAATATTAATCGTATCAATGACTATAGTAGGACAGCTCTGAAAATTTTATAAAGAGGGTAGGGGGCAGGGGGGCTGGTAGATAAGGGTAAAAGGGATAAAATATATAGTGATGAAAAGAGAACTGACTCTGGGTGGTGAACACACAATGTGATATATAGATGACATATTACAGAATGGTACACCTGAAACCTATGTAACTTTACTAACCATTGTCACCCCAATAAACTTTAATAAAAAAATTAAAAATTAAAATTAAAAAAAGATTTTAGAAAAAGTAGATGTAAATGATAAACTCTAAAAGTCCATTTGCTTTTCTTACTCTTGCCTTACTGTATAGCAGAGAAGTAACTGGGGTCTTTATTATAGAAAATGTCTTACTGAAACACAGCTGACACATGTTATTTTAGTGAGAATAGTCTGGCTGTGTACCCTCCAGAAAATCTTTGCTGAAACCCACAGTTTAGACTGATTGTCTGTGCTTGCTGCTCCCATATCACTTTTTATTTGCTCCTCTTGAAACAAGCTATATACTTGTATATAATCTATGCAAGATTACAAACTTCTCAATGCAGGGACTGTATCATGCTCTCATTTAAAAGAAGAAGAAAAAAAAAGCACTAGTTTACACAGTGCCTGGAACAGAATTGTTCTCTATAAACATCTGTAGAAACAAACCATTTATTTAATAATATCTTATACATGCTAGGAATGCAATATACTGTCTAAATGTATCTAAAAATAAGTTTAAACTTTTTTAATAAAACAGAAATTCATCTCCATTCCATTTTTTTTGTTGTTGTTTTTTTACTTCTTTGCCATTCTTACTGACACAAGGATTAAATACAGATGGACTTTTAGAGAGTCCTGAAGATGTTAGATTAGGATGGTGGGGCCATGAAAAAATATTAGTCACTATGTAGATAATGAAGTACAATGAACTATCAGCTAGCTACTGAGTTCTTACTCTATGCCAGTCACCATGCTTGGGCACTTCAGCTACTTTACTTCATTTAATCAATATAGAGAAGCATTGATCATCATCAGCAAACATTTTCTTACTATATAAATGTACTACGTGTACGCCTGCGAAGGAGTTCATAGATGTGCAAGTCTTAGGACCTGACTGCTGATAATTCACATGCTGGAAGGGAGTTGGACCTTCACTCATTCTGTGTTTGTGAATTACCTAGTATGTGTCCGGGGACTTTTCTAGACGGTGGCGATATAACAGTGAACAAAGCAGAAAAGATATTCTCCGGCCTCATAAAACCTATGTTCGGGGGGGGGGAGTAAAATAATACATAAACTAAATACGTAAAACAGAGATTATATTAGATAGTGGTTAGTACCAAAAAGGGGCGGGGGAAAGGAAAGAGAGAGAGGATGGATAATGCCAGGATATGTGTGGGAGGGGACAAGATTGAAAACTTGGAGCAGGTGGCTGGGGAAGGCTTTGCTGAGACTGGTTTTGAGTAATGGTTTAAAGGAGGAGATTATAACTTATAGCAAAGATGTTAAGACAAGGCATATAGAGTGTATTCCTTGGTGAAGTTATTATTTGATTGTCGTGTACTTTTGCAATATGCTCACGCGGAGTTTTAGAATTTCTCTTATGTCACTAGGAGAGACACTACCAGCTGATGACATTTAGCCCCAAAAAGAAAGGTCCATACCATGCCTGGTTTTATAATAGACTTTCTGAAGTATATTAGGAAAAATTCCACTAATCACAATATAGTCCAACAATATGGAGTTTTAGTCAAAAGTCACTCCCAAAATAATTAACTGTATTCTCTATACTGTTTGAGCCTCACCTCCCATCACTGTCCATTACACATCTTCCCAAAGTACAGGTACACGGGTAATTGTCATGCTGCAGCCCAAGGTTATGCCCCAGCTGATGTGCCATTCTGTTCGCAACCACATTTAGGTCAGGAAGAAGATCCTGATGCCAAAAAAAAAAAATAGATGTGCATTAGAAATGTCCACAAGATAGCACACCGTGGTGCACAGTGCTTTGAACTCGTGGGTGAGGCCTGGCTTCTGGCTTCTGGTTAACTATACGTATTGGAGAGGCCATGGACTTAGTTACTGCACGGCCACTAATGCCCCTCAGTTTCTTTAATTATATAATGAGGTTGGACAAAGGACCCTGTGAGGGTCTCGGACTCTAACATTTTGAAATTCTTTATTTGTGACACAACAACAGTCATTGTTGGATTTATAAAGACACATTCTTACAAATAGCATAAAATTATTAAATAATGTCCTACCCAATTCAATAAATATTATTGGTTGTCTTTTATATACTAGGTATTCAAAGAGGGTAAAAATAAAATTTGCATGGTTCGTGTTTTTAATGTATACTCTCACATTGCACTAAAATGCTAGGCAGTCATGAGGAGGGACTTTCTTTCTATTATGAAGAAAACCAGAAAAGCCAGAGATGCAAAATCCAAGGCAAAGTTGATTATTACCTGTGTTTTTAGCTCTATTTAATGTTTTAATGTTTATATTAATGAAAAATATTAATTTCCAAAGGGATAGGATATCAGGTTACTGTAAAAGTAAAATACCCCTAATTCGGTAATTCCATCTTGCTCATTTGAAGTTTAAAATGTGTCCTGAATGGGTTATAATATCATAATGGGAGTGCCGGCAGACTATATTAGATTAGATTGACTCTTTATGCAAAATTTATGCTACTAAACTTCCATAGGCAAAGGCATGATCATACGAAGAACTATATAATAAATAGATCATGAAGTCATTTAAGTAAGTACTAGCTTTTAATTTCAAGGTCTTAAGACTGGGCCAAGCATAGCAACAACTGGGCAGAGGCACTAAAGGAAACAAATCCAAATCTTTATGTTTTCAAGAATTTCTTAGGTAGGGTTACTCAGAAAGTATTTACTAGAAGCTTGGTGACTTGAGAAAGGATCAGATAAATAAGGGGAGTCAGCACTTTGAAGGTCTTAATGCTTTGGGAAAAGGAATTGTAAGTCTGCCTTGATCTGATATTTTAAATGGTTCATGCGTTCTCTTTCCAGCACAAGAACAATTATCCTCACTCAATTTAATATGCATAAGAGCTTTCCTAGTCTTTGTATGTTAATCTGTATGTGATCTTCTATTAAACTCTGAACACTGGTTAACCTTCACTATTCATCTATAGTATTATTATAAAATATTTCTTTTCTCATTTAATAAAGAAAACATGACAGTTTCACTGTGACATATTTTGCTGGGAATATACGACCAAATGCATACATGGTCTCTTTCAACAGGACATAAAAAATTACAGAAATTTAATTCAAGCTTTTTGATTAAGTAATATAAATAAAACACAGCCCACCTTAATGACACTGGAGGAATAAAAGGGCAGGCACATCCCCTCTGGATAAGAAGTTCCTTGTGCATGTGTGTAGAGCCACTTCCCACTATAAACAAGATGAACATACACTATTCAATCTGAGGTAGTTTAATTAACACATGGACCGAATTTCAGTGAATCCCCACAATGCAAGTGCCTTTGCACATGACAGTGCCTTCTCTTTTTTCTGGAGTTCTGGAATTGAGGATGACCTCAGTTGATATTAAGCTCATTTTAAACCCATGGTATATTAGAGGCATTGAAAAAGTGAATGCGATCTTAAATTGAAATCATAAAGAATGACTTTCTCAAAAAAATAAATAAGGTTAGAGTCCCATTTTACTTGACTTGAGTTTACCTTACACTCAGGTTTGAATAAAACCACATAAAAGACCCCAAAAAAATTAAATAAAAAATGATCAGAGGAGAAAATGCAATATAGTAATGAACTCAACATTGTTGTTAATTAGCTGTGGTTGAAAAATTTTAAAAAGTGTTTAATCAATCATAGAAACTCATAGAGAATTTGATAGCAACAATCAAACATCATGTGAAAACAGGGCTTTTCCTAGATTACCTAAAAACACAGGTGTTGATGTGTATATTAAAGAAATCCAAACCTGATATGTTTTCAAGAAGAATATTTAGATTTGGAAGACTTTAAAGAAAGCTATCATGGGCTGCAGGTCCACACTTGGGGTATAATAGAGGGGATTGAAATACAAGAAAGCTTGTCAGGTTACATGACCCCTTTCAGTCTTTAACTTTTTTTGATCAAGAACATATGCTCTGTTTCTTTTCTATTGAAATGGTTCTGGCCCTACATTTCAAAGTCTCACTATTGGACTATATATTCATCTTGAAGGAACTTAGAATTCTGATCTTCCTAGACTCTGAAGATCTTGGGAGAACACCACCCACAGAGATGAAGCACCGTAGAAAGCAGAGTCCTGGTTCTGACTTTGCTCAAGGTCACTTAAAACCAAAAACTGCTTCTAGACCTATGTGAGTATGAAGGGACAGCATGCAAGAAACTCAACACATAAGAAATCCCAAATACCTGGCATGCCAAGAAATGTATACACATTTTAAGAGGTGTTATGCTTAAACATGATAACATCTCTTAAAATGTGTATACATTTTTTTGGCATGCTATATAATGCCCAGTTAGACATTTCGTAGCACACCCCCCTCCCCCCCACACACTGTTTCCCTATTTGTAGACACACCATTGATGAGAGAAGTTACTGCTCAAAGTAAGACACATTCATGGAAGCAAAAGGCATTCCACTTACACCCATTTAAACATGTTTAGACTATTTATTAAATGTATTATATTATGTTTATACAGAGGGTGCCAAAAACATGCACACACATCTTAAGAAAACTGTTTAAAATTGTAATACTCAATATATACCGATAACAAAAGATGAATACAAGTCACATTTGACTTCTGCAGTTACAAGAGGTGCTCAAAGTGGTTACCTTTAGCATCCAGACACTTCTGATTACGGTGAACTACTGCTTGAGCAACGCTGACCAAAGTGTCCACTTGTAGACATTGTTTTGGCACCCACAGTATATATATTTATTAAACTATTTATACATATTATAAAACACATGTCCAATGAATAGGTAAACGGGCTAATCTAGCTCACTATGAAGGTTATGGTGATATTTTACTTTACCTCTCATAATTTTGTATGAATAGTGAAATCCAAGCCAGGTACACATTTCCTCTGGAAAGATGTGCTATGGGCCATCCATGATATAAAATAAAAAATAATCTTTGGAGGTCTAGGTCACTCTCATCAATCTGCCAAAGGGCTGGACCGGACCTCTTCTGACAGTTATAGACTTTGGAAGCTTCACAGTTCTGAGTTCAGACTGAAAGTTAACTTTTAATTTAATATCCCTTACAATAAAAAAAACAACACGACTATTGAAACCCAAGGTTGAAGTCAGTTCAGCATTATCATTTCCCTATAGACTGTGTAGTGCTTATGTGTTTTGAATACAAAAATGATAAAATATGCTCCCCCCACCCCCAAACATACGCTCTTAGGAATGACATTGATTGGATTAGTTATCTGTCATTTTGCATACTAGAGAAGATGCTTTTAAGCTCTGGTCACTGGGTGGGCATACTTTACTGCAGGGATATTTTCAGAAAATGAGGTGCTTTCCCAGAAAAGAAGGTTTTGGTGGAGTTGGAATGGCATGGTGTGGAAGGCTGAAGGGAGTTAGCATTGGAAGCTGATAAGTAAAATAAATGGATTCTAAACGTGTTTTGCTTATCTAATGACATTTTCAACTCTGTCCAGGAATATGAATATATCAGATTTTTTTCTGTCTAGTATTAATCACTACTAGAAAGAAAGATTATTGAAAAGTCTCTATGGAAATTTTCTGTATAGCTAAACATAATATTTTGTTCCTGTGTGCAATCCAAAAGTTAATTGCTTTAAAAACTATTTTGGTTATTGTGCATTTGTTCTGTTTCTTTTTTAATAGCCCACCTTAGGTATGCAGGAAAATAGAGCAGTTACATACCTGAGTAAAAAAACATGATCAAAATTCCTCCTTTTTTTAAGGATTGTTTCTTGCCAGACTGAAAAATGCAATAAAGTAGTTTCTATATTTGAATCTACTTCTATTTTATCTCCATTTGACCACATTTCAAGGCCAACCAATGTAACATGAATGTCCAAAGTTTTATAAATCTGTTAAAAAAAAAGATTTTTCACAAAGTCAAGTTGCAGAAGGATCCTTTGCCATTACTATATTTCTTTACATTAAAATTATATTATTATTATTATTATTATTATTATTATTATTATTTTGACACATCAGATACACAGACAAAAAAGCACAGACCTCAAACAAAACAGTCCTCAAACAAAACTAATGTGGGGTGAATCACCCAGAATACTGAGAGAATTGCCATAGCCAACAAAAACACTAGACTATAAACATCTGATTCCCCTTGAACTATCATAGGCCTTATAGGCAGTGGGCTCAGGATGTGTTAGAATAAATAATTTAGTAAAGCTCTGAGATTATAACTGACCTGAAAATATTAATTTACTAATAGTTTCATCCGGTAGAATGTGTGATCTTTATCCATCTCCCTACTTTAGGTCATAAATTGGTTCTGTGGCAGATTAGAAAGGTGATACTGGTTTTCTAAAACCAATAGCTTAGCTGCCATGTTTGTTCTCCATGCTTGATTTTTGGAATTCCTTTGTTGTCTAAGAAATCTTACTGGGGACTGCTCAAAGCAGGCAGACTTAGTTGTAGCCCATTAGCCTTCTACCCCTATAACCTCCTGCTTTGGTAAACATCTAGTTGATTGATTCTTTGATGCCAGGACAAAAGAAGACAGAGTTTAAGTAAATATGAAGATTTTGACACAAAGAATATGTGGTTCATCAATTTTATAAAGAATGAATAATAAACTATAAGCACTGAACTAAGAACAGAAATGGAGAAGTCCATCATACAATATTAATAGAGAATATAACTGAAGAAGTTTAATACATCATTGCTATAACAATAACCTTGTGCTAATTTTCCACATTTCTTAACCTATTGGGTCTTTGGAAAAGTCATGACATATTTTGTGTATGTTTTTCAAATGTCATTTATTTATATAAAGAACAAAGATCGATCAATGATATATTGCCCATTTTGTTCAATAACCTTTTGCCATCTTTCAGTGAGCTTCATAATTCCTTGTTCATAGAAGGACCTGTCTTTATTTGTGAAAAACTGAATAAGGTGCTGATTTACAGCCTCATCTGAATTAAACATTATACCACAAAAGGAGTTTTGAAGAGAGTGAAATAAGTAGAAGTCTGACGGCGCAAGGTCAGGCGAATATGGTGGATGTGGCAACACATCCCATCCAAGCTCCAATAATTTTTTTTTTTAAAGAGGCAGGTTTTTTTTTTTTTTTAAGATTTTTTTATTGGGGAATTGGGGGGAAGGGAACAGTGCTGGGGAATTGGGGGAAGGGGAACAGACAAGTTGCTGCCATTTTGTTCTTCAGTCTAGTTGTGGAGGACGTTGCTTCACTGGCCCAAGTTGGCACCATCATTGCGCTCTTCCCGGGAGAGGCAGATCAGTCGCCGGCTTCTGGACGGCCGCTCACTGCGGCTGCTGGCCGCTCATGCTGGCTGCTGGCTACACACGGTAGCCCATGGCAACCCACTGCAGCAGGGGCTGCAGCCTACACCATCGCTGGCGACTCACGGCAGCCCAGCTCCAGGTTGAGCTGTTGTTCAGCATCTTAGCTGCAGAGGGCAGTGTCACTGGCCCTCATATGTGGGATCCGAACCAGGGCCCTCTGGCATCCCAAGCCAGCTCTTAACCATTGCGCCACTCGGCCGGCCCAAGCTCCAATAATTTTTGACGGGTTTGATCAAACTTGTATGTGGTCTTGCGTTGTTGCAATGGAACACAACTCCTTTACAATTAACAAGCTCTGGAAGTTTCTGGATGATGGATTTTTTCAAACCGTCCAATTGCCAACAGTACACATTGAAATTGATTGTTTGGTTCCTTTGTAGGAATGCAAAAAACATGACACCTTTAAAATCCCACCACACTGAGAGCGTAATCTTCATCTGATGAATGTCTGATTTCGATGTCGTTTGAGGCAAATCATCACGTCAGGACCAAGACCATTTATTTGCACACCACGTTGTTATAAACAATCCACTTCTCATCACCAGTTATCAGTCGCTTCAAAAAAGGATCGTTTTCCTCATGTTTAATGAGTATATTGCAGATGTTTATAGGCAACATCAAATGAACTTCTTTGAATTCATGTGGAACCCAAATATCGAGATTGCTTATGTATCCCAGGTTCTTCAGGTGGTCATAAATGCTTGAATGATGATGTTCAATGTTTCTGCAATCTCTTGTGTCATGTAACATGGGTTTCACTTGATCAATGCCTTTATTTTGTCATCATCAACCTCGGTGGGTCTCCCTGACTGAGGAGCATCATTGAAATCAAAATCACCAGCACGGAATTTCGTGAACCATCGTTGGCACTGACGTTCTTGTAGAGCATTGTCACCATAAACTTTATGTAACTTTTCACAAGCTTGGTGCGCAATCTTCCCTTTATGTATGTAAAACAGTAAAATATGGCAAAACGCACAGTTTGGTCTTCCATCTTCAACTTGTTGTAAAATCTCCAAAAATCAACCAAATTGCTCAATTTTTTTGTACAATGAAGCTAGAACTGTCAGCTGTCAAATGACATTGCAATAACATAGATGCAAATGACTCTAGTACTTCCAAAAATGAACTAGTGCCATCTGTTGCAAACATGTGTCATGACTTTTCTGAAGACCCTATACATAATACAAGTGTATTGAATTCCATGTGTCAACATAACCCATCAAGGCCCTTTCATAACCATGAGAACTAAGTTGCTTTTAAACTCGCATTAAGTTACACCTCTAGTCAAATATGATCTCAAATATATACTGGAGCCTGTGATGCCCATTCCTTTTGGCCCTGATCTTATCATGGAGTAAACCTTACGAATCAGACCTACAGAGTGAGAATTTTTTTTTTTCACTTGGATTTTTTGGACTCTCTACATTCATGGGTGGGCTTTAGGTTTATAAAACTGGTTGCAAGTAAAAATGAAAACAATGTTTGCCATCCTATGAATGTATTCTCTTCTAGTGAAAAAAGATCCTATAAAATAAAGCCATGTTTTATTGTGAAGAACAGACTGTTCAACGAGGTGACTGCTGCCAGACCCTCTAGCGCAGCGGTTCTCAACCTTCCTAATGCTGCGACCCCTTAATACAGTTCCTCATGTTGTGGTGACCCCCAACCATGCAATTATTTTCGTTGTTACTCTATAACTGTAATTTTGCTACTGTTATGAATCGTAATATAAATATCTTTTTGTTTTCCAATGGTCTTAGGCGACCCCTGTGAAAGGGTCAATCGACCCCCCCAAGGGGTCACGACCCACAGGTTGAGAACCGATGCTCAAGCGAGACCCAGTTAGATAGCTTCAGGCCAGAACAGGGATTGCTTCCCATCAATCCCCTCAGATTGTCTGAGACCTCCCCTACGGGCTCTACTGAGGATCTACGGCCGGTAAGGAGTGACGTGATGGAAAGGGTCAAAGACTTGTGGACAATGTTACCTTAAATTATTTGTGGTATGACCTCCCAATCTAAACTGAAAATCTTTAATAAAAGTTCAGCAATGTGCAACAATGTCGAATTTATGCTAATTTTGGAGATGAAAACCCAAGGAGATAGATTGAGGCTTATATTTGGATCAATGTTAGGGTAGTGATAAAGACAATTGCAAGACATAGAAATAGGAGAAAACAGAGAAGACTATGAGATATAATCATTCCACACCATGTTGTTCCTACCTTTTAGAAAAAGTCATGGGGAGGATTTTAAGTTTCCGTAGACATAGATTTAAGGTTGGGAGGAGTTCTGCTTCTAGCTAAGATGGACAACGTTGGAAAGAATGTTGCTTCTACCCCAACAAAAAGAAAAGGCCTGGGAATCTACAAAATCGTATCTTTTATTGAAACCATAAGAGAGCTGAGGTAACAGGACAAACAAGTAGCCTGAAATCTAAGGAAAGACATACTCCTTCAAAGAGAAATGGCACTGGAGCATCTACCAGGGGCAGTGTCAGAAAAAGAGATGCTGAGCACCAAAAGCAGATAAGAAGACTCCACCAAACATTTTTTAAGGTATTGCTAAAGGACAAGTGTGGGATAGAATAATAGCATAGGACCCTCCAAGAGACACAGGCACAAGAAATTCCACACACACGCACAGACTCTTCTCCACAGGCCTCCCCTGGATACCCACAAAAACGATGGAGGGCAGAATGGGAAACTGGCCAGATCCTCCCTTGGTGGTACCAGCCTGAAGGAGGGGAGCAGCTGCTGGCTTGGGAATATCTTAAAATCTAGCAGACTCTTCTCTCCTGATGAGAAACAGCCTTCAGCTGCTGTGTGAACTTCAGTCAACTTTTTTTTACACCCCTAGAACTCGAGTGAAAACCTATTGTGGCTAAATGAAGGGAAAAGAAAAAACCTTCTATTCCTGGAGGAGAGGTAGGAAAGGAAGTTGTCCTGAGGTCAGGCCATTTAAGGTCTCCTACTGTAGGAGGAGGAACATGAACATTGAGGAATATCTACCCCAAGACCCATGGGCAGGGCTTTCCTAAGACCAATGATAGATGAGGTCCCATAACTAGATCAGCAATCGCTGAGTAACAAACAAGAACAGGCTACTACTGAAGGGGAGATAAGAATGTGCATGGGACGCATTCTTTGAGCACCTTGATAAAGGCCTGAGGTTGAGGTTGAAACAAGAATAATCTCTCCAACAATCCAGGACCCACTCCAAGTACAAGGCAACACTACAGGAATCTGAAGTTGGTGGTGAACTGTAGGTAACAATAGCAATAGCAAAACCCCAAACCAGCTTGATTTCTGACAAGATTGATTCAATCCAGTATGTTAATGGCCTAACAAGAGAAATATATATATACATTTCCACGCATAAATATAACTTCTTCAATCTCTACTATCCCACACTTAATGTCTAGTATCCAATAAAACATTAAAGAACACACAAAAGAGCAAGAAAAAACAACCCCCTGGCTGAGAAATGAGTTGACAAAATTAGGTCAGAGGTAATCCAAATGTTGAAATTATTTGACAGGAAATATTAAACAATTATTAATACGTTAAAGTGCTCATGGAAAATACGAATGTGGTAGGCACAATTCTAACTTAAAGACATATAAAAAATTTCCAATGTATTTGGAAATTAAATGACACACATGTATGACCACTGAATCAAAGAGGAAGTCATAAAGGATATTAGACAGATTTTTGAATTGAATGAAAATTAAAAATAAAACATATCAAAATTTGTGAGAACCAGCTACAGAACATACAGTTACAATTTGACTCAGCATTTCCACTTTTTAGTCATTTACAAAAAAAAATGTTTGCCCATCCACCTGTATGCAGATGTTTAAAGAAATAGTATTTATTATAGTGAAAAACTAGAAACAGATCAAACGTCCTTCAACTAGTGAATGAACCACCATTGACTAGATGGGGCTACTCATTCCAACATCTTCCTTTAGGTCCTCTTTGTTCTAATAATGGATCTGGGTGACTTGGAAGAAGTCAGCATAAGAAACATATGTACAATTCAAAGTATTGTATTTTTAAAAAGGTTATAGTTAATTCTATTTTAGACAAATTAATCATTTAGTGCATTTTATATCTCCTGTAACTTCTGTGTCAAAACATGGACTGTAAGTTATAGCTTGAAAGCCTTTTTGCCATGCAGGGTCATGAAAGAGTAATTTAAAATAGTGAATTTGATTTATGCATAATAGGTACTCAAATCATTGTATATCGCTTTATAATTTTTGTGAACAATGACCAATATCTGAAATTTATTTAAATGTTTAAATATTAAATATCATTTGCTTAGGAAACCAAAACCTCAAAACTAACACAGAAATTCAGCAGATAGATATCCTAAATGTTGCTTTCCATTTTGGTTTAGCTTGATTCAAAGTGTATAAAATCTTACCATGTTGACAAAATTGACCATTCCCCAAATTCGGCTCCTCAATTTACTGCGAGGATAATTATTCCTTCGATACTAGAAGTGTAAACATCAGATCAACGTTCATTAACAATAGGAGATGTATACAAACTCAACAAAATACTTCACCTCGATAGTTCAAAGAAAAAAAATTCATTGGCATTCTTTCCAGTGAACTAAAAACCTGGGCAACTTATGCAGAAATACATTTTTTATATAAAATAACTAAATACAGTACTTTCTAAAGACATGCTTCAACTTAGCTCTATTTAAAACTTTTTTTTATAATATTGTCCCTTTTACACATTACATTATATTACATTACATTGGTTTATTAAACCAAATAATAAGCATTCTTTAGGGTTCATGTTTATCATGTGGATGAATCAAAACTTATTAAAGCTCCACAGCAACCATTATATTGCAAGAAAACAGCAACTTCATCGCCCTCAGGTGTCCATGCTGGTTACAAACTAAGCAAAGTATATATTATATTCAAGGGTCACTCTGGAACCAGAGACGTGAGGAGAGGGCCACAAAAGTGTGACTGGCCCTTCTCTTCAGGAAAAGGCTGAAAAAGAAGGCAGCGCCGACTTTCCTGCTCCGGCCTCTTCTGACTTTTGTTCTCTTCTTACGAATGGATTTTCTATGGTGACATCAGGACCTTGTTCTCAGCTTTATCAAGTTAGACCTGATCAAATATACTTAGTAATAATACAAGGTATCCCGAAGGATACATGCAAATCATCAAGCTTCTTACATAATCAAAATTTTAAAAAATATGCCTTTTTGAATCCTGCAAATATCCTTGAGTTACCACTTCGCTGCTCTCCTGTTCTTTTAAATATCTACATACCTCAAAGATATAACATGAGAATCTCTTCAGTTCTCATCTTCCACCCACTCCTCCACCCACTACTCATTGGTTTAACTGCCACTACTCCACTGAAACTATTCTTGATAGGCCCATAAATGTCCTCTTAATTATCAAATCCATTGAACACTTTTTCCTCATCTTCCTGGTTGTTTTATTCACATTTAACATTGACCATTTTCTCTTTCAAGAAATTTTTTATTATCTTGGTTTCTATTATCCTACACACTCCCAGTGTTTTATTGTGCACAGGTTTCTCTTTTCTACCATCCCCTTAAATTCTAGATGGTAAATATGTTTTCACACCAGGAATCCCATTGGTGAATTGTTAGGACTTGTAAAAAATACACAGTTGAGAGAGATTCTGTGGCTATCTTAGCAACCACAGGAATAGGGTACTTTATCAGTCACCGATTCCCACCCATGCGGGTAGGGGAGAGGGATGGGGCTGGGAACTTTGCACTCTTATTTTCAAACCTTTATTAAATGGTTACTGTTGTCCAGGAATCAGACATTTGTATTCTCTTTTCTCTTTCAACTTGCTAGCTCTGGGTGGACACATCCATAACCTCACTCTACTTAGGTGCTTAAAACACATCACATTGCCTTCGATATATGTGTACATATAGTATATATGTAATACTCAGAACCTAGCATAGTGGATGCTCATTAACCATTTCAAATTAAAATGGATAATTTACCATAGGAACTTTTCTAAAAAAAGAAGCCCTGAAATAGATTAAGACAATATTAAATCAGCATGTGTGAGAGCTATGCATGTAAAGACCAGTTTAATGCACTTAAAATCATACCAAGCAAACCTTCACCTGATATCTGGGGTAAAATATTAAATTTAATAAATTGTTCTTAGTCTTTATTAATAAATTATTATTAAGAACAAAGCTTTTCTTAGCATTCTTTTTAAAGTTAATTAACATGTTCTTCCTAACATGCTCATGTAAGCTTATCTATTGATTAGTGCCTAGAACTTACTAATTTTTTTAATTTATAGGTTAATTGTAGTTTCTTCTGTTAGTTTTTCTTTTTTAATGTACAAAAAGGCTGTCTTTCCTTTCAATTAACATAGATCTTACTTATATTCTCTTATTACATTGGCTAGGAATTTCAGTGAATACGTTGAAAAAACATCTATTGACAATGAACAAATGTATCTTATTCTCAATTTTGGAAGACAAATCAACATTTCATCATTAAGTTTAACATTTATGAAGGATAAGATTTTGGTGAATATTCTTTATTTTCTTTCATGTCTTATTCACTTAGAGTTTTATAATGAATGTTGAAATATACATATGATATTTGAGATGATTACATGGTTTTTAAAAATTGCATTACTGTAATAAACCTTCATTGTCATGCAGACTTTTTCTTCATATGTGCTGATTGGGTTTGCACGTGTTTTTAAGACATTTGCAGTTGTGTTTGTAAGTAAAATTGGTTCGTAATTTTACTTAATTGCTTGCATTTGTTGTCAATGTCAACATAGATTGTTCTGGTATGGCTCTCTCGGGACTCACTCTTCCAGATATTTATACCCTTTTGTAGTTCCCTCCAACTTTGATCCTAGGCTTGGCCATCTGACTTACTTTGGCTAATGAGACATTAATAAACGTAATATAAGCAGAAGCTTGAAAAGCTCTTGCACATTGAAGCCTGGCCCCTCTCCTGATATTTTGATGCCCAGCTATGATGTGAGAAGCACAGGTTAACCTCCTGGAGACATGTGGCCTGTGAAACCCAACACTGCATGCCAAACAGTGACTGAGGCCATTTTACAGAAGCCAGCTCAATGGAACCACCAGATTACCGCAGCTGCATAAAAGACCTGCGCCAAGTATTAGGTGGTTTGTTACATAGCAATAGGTAACTAATACGAAGGTTATATTAACTTTACAAAATGTGTGAACAATTTTTCCTCTTTTCTTATTCTTCAAAAGAGTTTGTAAAAGATAGTTCTATTGGTTATAAAAATTTTGGCAAACATTTGTCTTTAAACTCATCTAAGCCATATCTTTATTTGTTGATCGATTGTGGACTACTTATTTAATTTTTAAAATTTATTATAATCTTTGTGGGGTTTCCTATTTCTTATCAATTCACCTTGGTAACATTATACTATATCCTTCTGCTCATAAATTTATTGGCTCAAGGTTGTACATTTAGTTTTTAATGATGGGTAACCTCTACTATGTTTATAGTTATGCTTTCCATTTATTTCTAATTTTACTTGTACTTGTATATTTTCTCAAAAATATTGCCAGAAGTTTCTCTGTTTCATTAATCTTTTCATAAAATTGGCATTTGATTTTGTTGATCTACTTGATTGTTTATTTTTTATTGTATCTTTTATTAATTTGATTTATCATCAAAATTATCTTCTTTCTATATTTTTTAGATTTATCTTGTGTTTCATTTTTTAACTTTTTCAGCTAGACTCTTAGTTCATTAAATTTCTTCTTTTAAATAAAAATGTTTAAGTCTATAAATGTCCTCCTAAATACTGCTATGCCACCTGCATCTAATAAATTTTATCTATTCTAATACAATATATTACTAATACTAATTGTGTCTACACTTTTTTGTTGTCATAAATATTTCATAATTTCAAATGTGTTTTCTTTAGTCAACTTATGTTTGGAAATGTATTTTGCTTTTAGTTTCCAAATCAATAATCTTTTAGTTGTTTAGTTTTAAAATTTTTGTTAGAACTCCTAATTTGGTTATCATTAAAAATAAATAATATGTGTAATACCTATTCTTTTATATTCCTTTTTACTTCCTTGTGGCCAAATATCAGTTTCATTTTTGAAAATGTTTTATTTGCACTTGAAAAGAATATATGTTGTTTTGTGGGTACAGGATATTTTATCAAATGCTTAAATCAAACCTATATTTACATGGTTCAAATCTTTTCTATTTTTGTTGAATTCTTTTCCTGCTTGACCTAAACTTTTCTGCTAGATGGGAACTAAATAACTCTTACTTTTCCTGTTACCCTGTTATTTTTTGTTGTATATATTTTTACACTATTTTGTTAGGTGTATAATCTGAAATATCATTGGGTGATTTACAGTTCTTGAAGAGCTTATTTGCCTTTTACTTATGTTGACTGACTCTTCCTCATGCGATAAGTTTGATCTTAGATAATGAAAGTGTCTTTATAAGGCATTTTTTATTTGCAACCTAGCAGTTTACCAAGTTTCTAATCAGCTTTTATATTGAAAGCTTTGCTTGACATTGCTGCATCTGAAGAAAAATATACTATCATGCCCCACATACGTGCATGACAAATCTTAGGATTTTTGCTTTTCCCATGTACAATATTTCCCCTGCCCATGGCCACAGGCAGACAGAACTTTTCCTTTCTCTTTGCAGTTTTAATGCACAGAACTTTTCTAGTTCCCTTTTCAGGGGTAGGCCAGCCCTCTATATCTCTGATTGTTAGGCATGATATTCTATATATTATAGGTCAACAAGCCTTTGAATTTTATTTACTACTCTAACAGAGATTTTCTTCCTCATTTTTAGCACTTGGAGATTTCCTGTGTTGTCTTTGGAGCTTAACTATAGGTTATGAATATATTTTCATTTTTTTAATATGTTGTTCAGCATTTTCATGTTTATAAAAGGGAGGGTGGTTCGATTTTGGCTCAGTTGTTATAATGTCAAAAGATTCAATTATCTCTTAAATAAGTCTGTCTTGGGAAGGTAAAAACAAAACTTGAGCCCAGAATAAATTTCTGATTAAAACACTTTTGTCTTTGTTAGAATCACAGCTATAGTTTATAAGGATGAATGTAGAGCAAATGTTCATCTGAAAACTTACCACCGTACCATCAGCAACAATGAACAGTTCAACATACTTTTCTTTATGGGTGATCTAGATATGTATGAAAAATTTAATGAAGTATGGTTAATATTTCTTATATTAACATTTTAGGTTAATTTTTTAATGTAAGAAATATTAATATTATCAATACAGGAAAATGAGGTATAGATGTATATCTAATAATTCTAGGAGTTTATCTCAATAAAACCCATTGTATTATTAAAACATGAGACCCTGTACATCAGATTATAATGAACCTGAAATAACATTTCATGCTTGATTATCCTTTCTTTCTTTTGTTTAGTCTCTCAGGTAAAATCAGAGTTATAAATAAAGAATTGTGAATCCAGTTTTTAACATTTACTTTTTTCTCATTTACAAAGTAAATGCTTGCTAAGTAAGCTCATGTAAAAAAACACCTGTTATAGGTCAGAGCTAAAACATAGGACTGGCTAATAAGATAGTTTTCCTTTTTCTCCTGCACCTCTCTCCAAATCTCCTATGTTGCAATAGTCTCAATTCCAAGGAAATGTACAAAAGTTTATAATTATAGATTTTTATAAAACACCAATACTAAGAAATTCTAAGTTTTCAGCTTTTGGTGGCATGCATTGAGGTACATGAATATTATCTGAGTATTTATACTCAAGGACATATTGTTCAAAGATTTGACTAAGTCATCCACATGTGAACTAACTAATCATTTATTAATAGAGTGATTCAATTGGCAAACATCCATTAGGCATCTAGTATGTCTTAGACACTGCCTGGACTGTGAATATATGAAGAAGATAAACACCCATGGAGCTTAAAGGCAAACATCTAGGGGCTAAAGGGATATGAGTTAGTTGTAGAGAAAAGCCCGAAATACAGAGGACTCTCATTGTGCAATCATCCCACCAAAAACTGAACTTGTTATTACTCTTAATTATCCTTAACAGTTAGAACATCTGACCTGATGAAAGGGGGAGAACCTGGCTTTTCATCAACAACTCCCCCAAAATAGAAGACGAGGAGAGACATTATCTAGGATAGGTTTCAAGACATAGTAAATTTCATTCTTTCTTGCTACATATAGCCCTAATGCTATATGTACGGTTGTAAATATCCCCTTTCCTTGAAATCAATGGGACAAACTGAAATTTACTGTAGGAACTGAACACTTTCTATACAGATAACAAGAACAAAATTTGACATTTCAGATTTCAAACAATGAAGAGTGGGAATCAGGTAGTATGTATATTTCATTCATTGAGCTCATAATCTTTCTCTTGAGGTCATAAAGTAAAGAAGAGTCATTTTAGCCAAGGAAAAGATAATTTTAAAATAAAGCACTCACTTCCTTTTGGGAGTCTTCCATGGGTTTAGTATTATTGTTTGGAGCAGTCGTTCTGGTAAAATTGAGCTCTGAACAAGAATAATTGACAGCATTCTGCATCTTCGGGTTATATTTGAACACCAAATGTTCTCCCTTATCTGAATATTTCACTGGTTCAATGAGGTACCTTTGGTCATGTACCCTGAAGAACCCCCTGTGGAAATTGAGAATACAATGTATATTTAAGACTTTTTACTACTACATTACTACATAATACTACTGTAGTCCATTTTTACTGACTTCGCCTTTTAAGAAAGGAGAACTGTAAGGTCAAGGTCTCATGAGCATGTAGCCAAATATTCTGAGTGATAAAGAAATGAGATGAAATGTGGTCTTTGATTGAATTAATGAATTTTTGTAAGAGTCAGCTCGTCTAGGTTTTTAGAAGTTTGACAGCCCAATCTCTGTTTTGCAGTATAGCTAAAGTAGTAGTTCCCACCTGGCGTTGTGGACCCCGGGGCAAGTCTGAGTTCTTGCAAAAATGTTTTGAATGTTTGTGCCCCTCAGGCATGAATTGTAGAATAAATATAGGAAAGTACAAACACTACTATGTGGTAAATTTTCATTGAAGGGGTTCTCATACTTGAAAATACTGGGAACTACTTAAGTCAAGTCTTCATCAATGAAGGCAGGAGTTTCTTGTTCTTCTACCCGTTGCCTCCCCACATCTTCCTCCTTTGTCCTTGAGCCCAAGATCTATAGAGAACTTATATAGGCTTTACTTCTGATGTTTTACTTTTTAGAAACTGGAAACACTATGAAGTGTTGTCTTGTGGTGGGAATTTACGGGACTAGAAATCAGGAGGGCTGGTTTGGACTTAATTCAACCATTAGCAAATTGGATGTTCACAAGCAAGTCTCTGATTTCAGTATCTTGAGCTACACGAGAGGGCAGGACAGGCTAGATGATTTCCAGTAGTCTTCCAGCTCCAAATCCTTTGATCAAATACTGAAAAACTTACCTTGCTTAGGGGTGGGCATTAGACATCTTTTTGTCAAAAGTGAACATAAACACTGGGTTAGGGTGGAAACTGATGCTGAAAATATACAGTAGCTTATTCCCATTAATTTTTCTATTTACCAGGATTGTTAAGAGGAAAGATGAAAAACGAATTTCTTTGAAAATCCATAGGAAAACTCATAAAGAGAACAGGAAGGTGCTCTGCATTACCTCAAGCCATTACATGTGCTGATACTGGCAGCGGAATCGAATTCATGTATAATGGATCCTTGGTAAAAACAGTGATCCTAAAATAGAAGAAGAGGTTATTGATATAAGTCTACATATTAACATTATATAAATAGAATATTTACATATTTTATGTTCACGATATATCAGTATTCCATTCTCACAGATTATACTTATATTCATTCATGTATTCATTAATTGCATTTTTCCTTTTGGAAAAATTTGAAACTACTTTAGAATTCTTTTATTTTAACTGTATGATTAGTTTCTGAAAAATAGTATATGGATTTCTCTATATATAATTTAGCAGTCTATTACTTGATGACACCAGGCTCAGAAACATGACCTTTTTCCATTAAAATATTACTACTTTAATCCATCCTAAAATTTCTACCAAACTACCGCTCCTGTGTTATTATAATTTTTCCCCAGTTGAGTTGCCTATGAAATCAAGCCAAAGTTCTTGTTAATTGCTAAAATTAGGTTTAATCTCTAACCATGTTTCCGCATGCTTTTTGTTCTGCTTCTCTGCTTCAATTAAGTTGGTATCTTTATCACTCCCTTCTTGGTGCTCTTCTCATGGTGATTTCATCAAGTAATTACTGTTTCTATCATTTCCTTCTGTTCAATTACCATCTATATGTGATACTTCCCATGGTTTTCTAGGGACCTCAGACCCTCACAGGCCAACAACCACTCCCTGCATGAAGGAATATTAACCAGTTTTCTTTCTGTTTTGTTTTTTTTAAATCGCATGATGACTTACATTTCATAGTTGACAGCTGCCATAAATAGAGGAAATAGGCTTTAAATTGTATACTTTTGGTCAGAGAGAATAATGTCATCATTGGTTAGAAGGCTGCTTGGGCATGTTTTGGAAACAGGGATAAGGTTATTAAAATAGAACCTGTATCCACTGGGATAACATTAGTGATAAATGAACAAAGATTTATTTGGAGAAAGAAGGCAAGAACTCAGTGCTGGTGTATCAGAAAAGCTGGGTAAGGTGATGTGACTCATTTAAATGGCAATTAGATGCAGGTTTTCAAACTGTTTCATGGCTGTAGGTTTATCCATTTAGCTTGATACAATCCCATCCGGGTACCTTATACTTCTTTGGTGTCTTGTTTTAGCCTTACCTCTAGACTTAACACCATTTGGGGTACATTGAAGTTGGTTTAATGAAGAAAAATACATTAGCAGTCATTGATTTGCTTGTCAGGCAATGATCACCCTCCTTTAGAGTTCATTCTATCCTAGCATCATTCAGTGACCGTAGTTAATGCAGGATTCATTTCTGATGTAACACTTTCTGATGCTGCTTGTAAAGTTAGAATTGGGTTTCAAAAATAATACAAGGAAATAATAATGTCAGAGAGGGGACATAGGAAGTTTCCATAAGATACCATGATCTGAGGATGTCTGGTGATCTCCTCCCCTTTCGTGGAGTAGTACGTTTCACTGTAATTTGAGCCTAGAAACTCCCTGAAAAAGAGGACAGAAAGGCTCTGAGATTTATTTCTGAGGTACTGAGATTAATTTCTAAAAAGTTAATAGATAAAACCAATTATGTGACAGAGAAGCCTCCAGCCTGCTTTCAAATCTCAATGAGATCCTCTTCTGTTAAAAATAGATAAGCAAAATCAATCCCTCTCACAGGAAAATCCTTTCTACTTAGATTACACAGTTTGATAAACACTGTAGAAGAAACAGAATAAGATTCTGGCCGTATTAGGGAGGCGGCACCTTGAGATGAACCTAGAGAAAATATTATCTGAGAAAAAGTCTCTAGACTTACTTAAGATTCAAAATTAACGCAAAAAGTCTCATTAGAGACAAAAAAGTCAGAAGAATAATGTCAGCATTTTTGTGAAAAGAAATAGATGTTCTGTCAATCCATTTTATACCCAGCAAAAAATAACTTTCAAGAATGAAGGAAAAATAAAGACCATTTCAGATAAAAGAAAACTTTTATAGTTCATTTATATAGAAATTTGGGTAACACAGGTATGTGCATTTGTCCTCAATGAATGTATACTTCAGGTTTGTGCATTTAATTGTATAAGCATTTCATATCAAAAGAAATAATTGTAAACAAATTAAACTTGTAAAATATTAAACTTGTAAAAAATAATTGCAAACAAATTGTAAAATATTAAACTCTAATGATATGTTTGTTGAAGTATTTAGGGAGAAGTATATTGATATCTGCAATACAATTTAAAATGCATAAAAATAATGGAGAATGTATGTATGTATGTTAGTGTATCATCAGCACGATCACCTGCATTGTGACCCTGGGCAAGTTGTTATTTCAGTAAACTTATGATTTTTCCTTAGTAAAATGGAAATAAAAAAATATCAGCTTTCTAAGAATATTGTAGGGGTTAAGAGAAATCTTTGAGGAAAGGCACATGGAAATTGCTCAGTCAATGTTAGCTTCCTTTCATCTTGAGAATGTCAGAATATGTAGAGTCTGAATACATTATCAATATAGTTATGCTATTAATATTAGATTTATTATATTTTTGTACATTTGTCCAGTGGAGGACTCAGTGTTGAGGAGGGGTTTTTGTTTATTTTAATAATTTATTTATTTTATCGTATATTTTTAGCTAATAAACCAGAGTCTCAATTCTTCAATAGGGTTATCCTTCCATTTTACTTAGCATTTGACTATTCTTCATGATTTTAATGTTTGGGGATGAGAGGCAGAGCTATTGTGTGTAGAAATGCCCCAAAGGAAAATAAAGGAAATTAAACAACAATTACAACAAAGGTTGTAAAGAGCTAATGGAGAAATTTAAGGGCATTAGAATTATTTAACTTCCACAAGATAATTTGTGTAAGTTGTAAGAAGTAAGTGCGTCCCAGTTCTTAGCTTACTGGCCAACACAACTTGGCTTGATATTTATTTTCAATAACTTAGGAATCACTTTAACAACAATGGTTTTTAAATTTCTTGTCTTCCACTGATTCAGAAAGCAATGATGTATTAACTCTGTTGTTAGAGTGAGTATGTGGAGCTTAAAAAACTGCAGTACCCCAAATAGGGGGTAATTTAGAAACCAGAGAACAGTGTATAATTGGTAAGCTGTTCAAGCAAGATGGGCTTACATTAAAAAAACAAAAATTCAGATTATATACAGATAACAATGACTTGAGGAATTCACTTTACTGGCAGTTTTTACAAAAACTGGGATTCTATAGATTAATAATCTACAAGGTCTTCAATTGTAACAGAGCTTACCTTGATCTTAAAAGGTGAAGTATTAAGGTTTTTCTACTTAGACTTATTTCATACAATAATTCTTCTTCATAAGTTTCCTGAAAAACAAGATCCATTTTGTTACTTAAACATGTGTTCATTTCGTGTGTGCTGGAGGTGGGTAGTGGAGTGGGTAGAGGGGGAAATTACAGGTCTTTCACAGTCAACCCAGCAGCCCAGCGATCCTTTCAGGCAAAATAATAAATATGATAAAGCTGAATTTATAAGAGAGCTAAAATATGGGGGATTTTGCTTTCAAGTTATTTTCAATGTTTTTGATGGAATCTTTTTCTAATTATAAAATGAAATGAAATGAAATGAAAAAAACGCATATTGTCCCCATATCCAGAGACATACAAGTTCCTATATGTCCTTGGAGTTCCAGCACCCCGCTCCAATAAATCTTCTGTTTATGTATTTTTAACAGTTTTGGGTATACTCTTTTATAGCCTACTTTTCCACATAAAAACAAACCATGACCATGACCATTTTCTTATTCTAATAAATGTTCTTTTATAGTATGCATTTTATGGCTGAAAAGCACAATGTGACTTAATTAATCTACAACTATATCAGAAAATTGATTTGGGATATTCACTATAGTTAGAATTTCATTGTCAACAACATAGAAAACATGCAAAGTTTTTGGTAAATACTAAAAAAATCTTTTAAAAAATCTGTAGGAGAACCCTAAAGAATGGAAGTACAAATTTAGATTTCCTTAGAAATTTATAGTGGTTCTTGTTTCCTTGCCTTAAATGTGATCATTAACAAAGGTCTTTCAAAGAATTAAATAACATTGTGATAAATTGGTTTCTTTGATGACAATTGGAATAGATATTTTCTTTTGTTTATTTAATTATTTGTATATTTGTATGTAAATGTCTAAGTTATATCTTTTCACCATTTTCTTTTCTGGCATTTATTTCTTTATGATTCATAAAAATTCTTTCTAGTTTAAGGATTTACAGTTATTGGCCACATACCTTACACATTTCTTTAGTTTATTGTTCATTCATTTATTCAGCTGCTATTATTTCAGGCACAGTGATAATATGAAAAATACTATAGTGCACAAGTTAGAGGTCACTGCCCGCATGGAAGCCACAGATTGGCAAAAAAGTAAATCAAGCAAATGTAATTGAGTATTATAAGCATCATAAGAGAAATACAGTGAATATGTTAGGATATTGAAAGGTGTCAGTGGCAGGGAACAGCACATGCAAAGGTCCTGAGGTAGGAAGGAATTTGACATGTTTGAGGAACAGAGATAAATTCAATCCTGCTGGAAAGTCAAGTGTAAATTGAGTGGAAATGAGAAATGGAAAAGTAGACAGGAACTAAACCATCTACAGCCTAGCAAGTCTCTGAAGAGGGCTTAGACTTTATCCTAAGGGCAAAGAAAAGTAAAAGGTTTAGGCAGAAAAATGCAGAAGTAAGTATGATATTTTAGATGACTTATTTATTATGGATGATGGATCAGCAAAAATCCTGACTGTAGGCAGAAAAAAAAGCGTTTAAAAGGCTGTTGGAATACAGATGATTTGAGCAGGGGAGTGGCAGCAGGAATAAGGATGAGTAGATAATTTCAAAGGATATTTACATGCTGGAATCTAAAAGGCTTAGTGATTGTTGGATGGGGAGGCAAAGGAGAGGAGTCATGAATTACCTCAGGTTTCTGGTTTGTTTAACAACGTCACTGCTGAGAGGGGGATCTTCTGAAAAGGGGCAGCTTTGAGAGAGGGAGAGGTGGGGAGTCTTGTGTTTGTTGAATGTGAGGTGTGCATTAGTTAGGGCTTTTTTGATTGCAAGTTTAACATAAAAACTGGCCTTTATTATAAAGACACAGTATTTACAGTGGGAAGACAAAAAGTAGGTGCTCAATCAAATAAGAAGGGTTGAATACCATTTTACAACATGGTGACATTTATGTATAGGGGTGTGTGTGTGTGTGTGTGTGTGTGTGTGTAACAGGATGGTATAATGGAACTATTTTGAAATTTGAATGTTTGATTATGGATTTTGTATTACCTAATATTGAGAAAGTATTTTTAATATGGTGACATGTGATAATATTACTTTTAATCTTGCCATATTGTCTTAAGAAATAAATTTTTTAACTATTTTTTATTTTATGATTCTATTTATTTATGTTTAATTTTTAAATTTATTTTTATTTTAGAATCATTTTAGGTTTAGAGAAAAGTTGAAAAGATAATACAGAAATTCCCAAATACCCACCACTCATGTTTCCCTATTGTAAATATCTTAACCTTACTATGGGGTAAGATTGATATTATCAATTACTCAAAAAGTCTATGCTTTTACAGATTTTGTTTTAGTTTTTGTCTAATGTCTTTTTACTATTTTAGGATACCTTCCAGGATACCATATTATATTTATTTGTCATGTCTCTGTAGGCTCTTCTAGACTATGTCAGTTTCTCAGACTTTCCTTATTTTTCCTTATTTATTTTATTTTATTTTTTATTAGTTTCAGGTGTATAGCATAGTGGTTAGACATTTAGATAACTTATGAAGTGGCTCCCCCCGATAAGTCTAGTGCCCACCTGGCACCATCCATAGTTATTACAATATTGACTGTATTCCCTTATGGTATGCTTTACATCCCTGTGACTATTTGTATATTTGTAATTACCAATCTGTAGTTCTTAATCCCTGCAAATGGCAAGATTTCACTTGGCCATAAGAAAGACTTTCCTTATTTTTGATGACTGACAGTTATGAGGAGTCCTGGCCAGGTATTTTGTAGGCTGTCCCTCAGTTGAGGTTTTCAGGTTGTCTTTGTCATGCTTAGACTGCAGCTATGGAGATTTTGGAGAAAATGATAAAATAAAGTGCCATTTTCATCTCATTATATCAAGAGTATGTACTATCCGGCCAGCTGAGTGGCGCGATGGTTAAGAACTGGCTTGGGACGCCAGAGGGCCCCGGTTCGGATCCCAGTGACACTGCCCTCCACAGCTAAGATGCTGAACAACAGCTCAACCTGGAGCTGGGCTGCCGTGAGTCGCCGGCGACGGCGTAGGCTGCAGCCCCTGTGGCAGTGGGTTGCCATGGGCTACCGTGTGTAGCCAGCAGCCAGCGTGAGCGGCCAGCAGCTGCCATGAGCAGCCGTCCAGAAGCCGGCGACTGATCTGCCTCGCCCGGGAAGAACACAATGATGGTGCCAACTTGGGCCAGTGAAGCAACGTCCTCCACAACTAGACTGAAGAACAAAAAAACGACAGCAACTTGTCTGTTCCCCTTCCCCCAATTCCCCGATAAATATCTTAAAAAAAAAAAGAGTATGTACTATCGACATGACTTATCACTGATGATGTTCATCCTGATGTAGCGTTTGTAAGCTTTCTCCACTGTAAAGTTATACTTCTCCTCTTTCCAAGTTTTATTCTTTGGAAGGAAGTCACTGTGCAGGGCCTAAGCTTAAATGGTGGGGAGTTATCGCCACCTCTTGGGAAGAGGAATATCTACATCAATTTTTTTATTCTGTATGAGAGATTTGTCTATTATCTTGCATTTATTTACTCCTTCAATCATTCATTTATATCAACAGGGGTTTATGGATATTAATTTCTACTTTATGTTATGGTCCAAAACTGTTATGAATTTCTTTACTCAAATTGTCCCCTCTTTGGCCATTGGGAGCTCTTTCAGCTGGCTCCTATGTTCTTTTAACATATTCCCACCAATGTGGGTTTTGGATTTTTCATTTGTTTGTTTTGAGAGCTTCCTTACTTTCTGGTACTACAAGGTGCTCCAAACTTATCTTGTATATTTCCTGCCCCAGCCCGGGGTCATCTTGTATATTTATAATGGGAATTTTAATATCAGTCTTGATGAAGTCAGAAGAGCCCATCAGCTTTTACACAGCGGGTGGTAGAAAGCTGGCTTTGCCCTTTTAACTGAGTAACCAAACTTCAACCAATAAACGGTTTGAGAAGGTGAGAAAAGAATTGGAGACCAAGAGAAAAACGATTTGTAAGCTAATTTTTAGAGAGAAGTGGTTAGACGTTATTTCCAAATGGCAGCCGATAGAGTTGCTTTTCCATCATGTCAAGCCATGGGAAAGCGGCCTCCATGGGACCATTTGGAAAGTTGAAATGTGCCTCACTTATAATTGAGAAACCTCACTTGTGAGAACCTAGCAGGCTGGCTCCTCTAATGGAGGAGGGAAGAAAAGTCATTGCCTCGAGAAAGGTTTACCCTCTCAAGGAGGGTTGGGGCAAAGTGACAGTGTTCTCCAAGGGCCAAATTAAAAACCTAAGGCCCCAAGTGCAAGTGCCTGATAATACATATTATCAGGAGACTGAATGTCTTTTCAATCATGGTAGTTAAAAATAAGCTAATTTTGAAGCTTGCTCCCCGTGATGTGTATTATATATTTTCTATAGAAATAAACATGTACTACTTTTGAAAATACAATGTTAACTGTTTTTAAATGTTAACACCTGAATAAAGTCCCTTCTAAGCAACAGGCCAAGTAGGCCTTTTTGTTCCTGTGAAAATTGTCCAACCTTGCTGCAGAACCTGTAAGGTAAATCAGCCTGCGTATCAGATCACTGGGAAAACAATATGTTCAGATTATATATAGCCCACGGGCACCAGCCCGGAACAAATGAGGTTACCTTACATTAGCCTGAAAAGCTGTCAGTGGAACTCCTCACATAAACTGGAAAATTTTAAATGTCACCCCATAAAATCTGAACTTTACTCCTTTTTGCTTTCTAATCTGTCAAGGGTTGTTTTCCCTTCACCATCCACCCCCCACCCACCCAAGCACAGGCTATAAGCTGATTGGGAGTCTTTAGAAAAGCTGCTATGTCTGTGTTGTTTGTATCTGATGGGAACTAGAGGTTGCTTTGTGCATGCCTGGGCGAGCAATGTCTTATTGATTATTTCAAAATCTCTACCTGTATGTCATAATCATGGGTATGCCAAACATCTCGCTTCTGTATCAGAGGAAGCTTTTTGGGATAAACCAATTCTTGACCCTCTACTCCAAATATTATCTTTTCTAAAAGGAAACAGAGGGGGAAAACACATCTAGCATTAACATCCGCTCACAGTGATTGGATAACAGAATGCTTCTTATATAGATTTTACTTGCCCCCAATTAGCAGCCATGAGGAACAGCATTCCCACCTCCCAGGTAAGGAAATTGAGACTGATACGTTCAAATCAGGAAATATAAGTAACATAGGAAAGGAGGCGAAGAAACCGGGGTCCTTCAGCTTCCTCCATCTTTTCACCTTGTTTGGCACTTGTCCCCTTTGTCCTCTTATACTTTTCATGCCTGTCCCTGGATTCTGCCACCTGTCAAAACCTGCCGTGGAAAGTACCGTTTCAATGTAAATCACTGATTTCATCTCCCAGGCACAGTTGCATTTGAAGTCTTAATTCTCGTAGCTAAATATAAGGCTTCACTTGTTGAAAGGGTTTTAGGTACTCTTCAATCAGTGCTGCTCATCAAATTTTGCACGTTTCCTGCCACACTGGTAAATCCTCTGGGAGTCGAGCCCTGCTTACCTCACTAGAGAACGATATAGAGGAAAAAGCACAGGCGTTTGGAATCCGCTCTTATTTGATTCAAAGTTTTACCAGTTTATTAGCAGTATGATGATGAGTAGCATATCTAATCTCTCTGATCTGTGGATATTAGTCTCAATTTCCTTATCTTTAAAGTGGAGGTAACAGTATAGAATTTGAAATAGGTGAATATACAAAGTGGCTAATGGCTAGCAAGCAGTGTCTGCCACATTACAGGTATTCAGTAATGTCCACTGCTTGTTCCTTCTCACTGTAGTAAATCAGAGCATTTAAGCATAACATGGCATTTCATAGACTCATAGAATCTCAGTCCAAGTCCTATGCTATGTTCTCAGCAAAATCATCAGTGGATATTAATGTTTTTATCATTTACCATTTAAATTCTGTGACTAAAGAGACATTATCTCATAGCAAAACCCTGATAAAGAGATTAAGACATACCTTTAATCTGAGAAATGAGTAAAATCATGAAAAATAAATGCCTGGGACGCATTCTGAATGATTCTGGTAGAAGAGGAGCACATGTGCTTGAGAAAAAAAAATGCGCACAGTTCTTCGTCCTGGCGTCCACAGGAAAGATGAAGGACCTAACAGACAGACAGGCACTTTTGATCCAGCACAAGGAAGTGTTCCTTGATCGTGTTACACAATGCATGAGGTGCTTCAGGGTAAAGCCCGGAGGGTGAACACCACGTCCCAATTAAAGGCAACCACTGAGGTGGCGGTGGTGATGATGGAGGGCTGGGCAGAGACCCCTACTTCATGCCAACTGCAAATACAAGTCCAGGTGTACTAAAAATTCAAAAGTGAAAAAAAAAATCATGCGTGCCTTAGAAATAAATGATTGAAGAATGTTTATGGAAACTTTGGTTGAAGGAGGTCTTTCTATGCAGAATGCCACGTGTAGAAACTCCTAAGGAAATTTCGATAAAACAGAATAGAGATATTGAGAGCTTTTATTTTCTAACTAGATGAAGGCCTGGGCCCTGGGGGGCCCCGGGGATCATGGCCTTTAGAGTGCTGTCCGAAACATGAGCTATCAATCATTACTGTGCCCTGCTCAAGAACCCAGAGGGTCCTTGGGACGACAGGGGCCAATGAGGGAGAATAACTTTATCTTTTCTTTTCTTTACAGTTTTATTGAGATGTAATTGACATGCAGCACTGCATAGGTTTAGGGTGGATAGTCTGATGATTTGACTTACTACATATGTTATAAAATGATCACTATGGTAAGTTTAGTTAGCATCCATCATTACATATAAATACAAACAAACAAACAAACAAACAAAACAGAACATTTATTTATTTATTTATTTTTTTTTTTGTGATGAGAACTCTTAGGATCTACTCTCTTAATGCTGTTCCTTTATATCATACAGCGGTGGTCACTGCCATCACCATGCAGTACCTTATTCCCCTAGTACTTATTTATTTTATAACTGGAAGTTTGTACCTTTTAACCACCTTCCTCCAAACCTATTTATGAAAACTTATTATGTGATAAGTCACAAATTAATTTAAATTATAAGAAAAACCCTGGAATTTTATGCAACACATGTAATAAAATGTGAGGGTAAATATCCTTATAGAACTCCTTCAAGTCAATGCAAAGAAAAAGAGAACATTAACAAGCAAATGTGCAAAGGACCTGTCCAAACTGATTTATATGTCTGTGTTCTCTTGTTACCTTAGAAGAGATACCCCTTTGCCAACATAATTACTTATCTGGTTTTGTTTTTATTACTTTTTATTTGCCAGTTTATTTCACTTTTCTTTCCTTTTCTCTTTTCTTCTCTCTCTCTCTCTCTCTCTCTCTCTCTCTCTCTCTCTCTCTCTTTTTCTCTTTCACTCCTCAGGTTCTCTGGCTTCTTCTCTTTATCCAGCATGCAATGCTTTCTCCCATTAAAGGGCCCCTGGACATACTTGCTTCTCTACCTGGAGTCCTCCTCTCCTCTTTGTGGCCAAATTAATTCCTCATTTTTCAATTCTCAGTTCAAGGCTCACTATCTCAGGAAGTCCTTCCCTAACCCCAGAGTCTAGACCAAGTTTCTTTCTGAAACAAGATTCTCTATTTTTCTGAAAAATTATGTTAATATATCACACTCATCAAATTATTTGCTTATCTGTGCCCTGCAGCATATTATACTCTCCAGAAAGCAAAGATTCTGCTTGCTTTTGCTCACTCTGTCACCACACACCTCGTAGTGTCTGGCATATAGACACTGTGCTCAATATAAATTTGTTGAATGAAGTAAACTAATTTGCAATGTGATTATTGTCTGGTCTGATCCTCATGTATTTCTAGAAAATTTGAACATAATTAAAACAACTTTAACCCAAATGATCATATGATTCTACTGATAAGTAGAATTTTTGACACTCTTTCAGGTCAATACAAGAGATAGTTGAAGATTGATGGGCACACTCAAGTGTATTTGACTGGTTACCAAATATTCATTCACATATCAGATGGAACTTATCAGCTTCATTCACAGTGACAGCCGAAAAGAACATATTAAATTGGGTAAGAACTATATTAAGCTTGCCTTTGTTACAGTTAAAATTGTGGGAAACAGAATTAACAGTTTAAAAAATACCAATCCTGGAATCTCAATTACTTAACGGTGTCATGTTAAATGATAAGGCTTTAAGGCATTTGTCTGATGTCTTTGCGCAAATTACGGCTAGGCTAATTTTCTAGCACATCTAAAAAATTCTATGATTAACTCACGTGAAATAATTAAGAACTTCCAAAGAAGAAAAATTTTCGTAACTTACTCAAGCCACACAACCAACAAATGGAAAGCAAAGATTAAAAGAAAATTTCAGCCTGGCCCTGTGTGCTTTTTATAATACACTGGTGCCTCTTTTTTGAGGGGAAACAAGCTTGTTTCCTTTTCATAATCAACCTTTCAAACTCGGAGAACATTATACCTCAATTCCAAACTCTACCAAGTGCCTATTTTGGAATAGTGCGATATTATAAGTAGTCTATAATTTACTCTCTCTCTCAGGTCACATCTTTCTGTGTTTAAATTAACACGGTCACTAAAGTATATAAAGCTTTAAAAAATAAACAAATAAGTAAATCCTGAAACAGATTTCAACATCAAAGAGGCTCCGGGGTGTCCAATTTTCAGATAAAAGCATATTTTAAAGAAGATTAGCCAAGTATGGGAATGTTCTAGTCTCTTCTCATTTCTCCGCTACAAATTAGTGAAGCGACTCTCATAGGAGGTTCTCTAATCTCCTCCCATCCTGGTTTCCATGAGGGATTTGAAGTTGTAGATTCTCGTGTTCATTCCTTATCCCCCCTTTACAGAACAGCCAATCAGTAGGCTTTGTCTCAGAGGCTGCTCAGCTTTGCTCAGAGCTCGCCTGCTATCTCCTTTTGCTCTCCCTCATGGTCCAGATATGGCTCAGGCTTGCCTCCTGAGTTTCCTTCTCTCCCTCTTTTCCTGAATCCTGCTCCCTCTCTCCTAGCTAACAACTTGGAGAGCCATCCCTCAGACTGCCTTAAGAACTTAAAGAAGTAAATGCAAGTGGTGAAAGCCCAGGAAGGATGACAGACGATAACGATCATATATTCCAAGGCAGAGCCAAGAAGCAGCCCACTCTGCAGACCCAACACACTTCTTATACCACCTTTGTAAAGAGGAACATAAAGAAAAGGGGCAATAAAGTGAAGGGAATGAAGAAAATGAAGAAAAACCTCTTGTTCAAACTATAACAGTAGTGGCAAAAGCTTCACATAGAAATACAAATTAGCATTTTCTGTCTGACTTTGAAAGGAATGTCATTGTAAAGTACTCCCAAACCACATTAATCATGGTGAACTTGTCATTCTCTTTGTAGAAGCAAATTTCAGCCCATTAATTGTGTGTTAAGTGCATCGAAAAGAACACTGGATTCAGAAACAGGAGCTCTGTGTTCTCCTGTGACTACAATTCTGTTACTTCTGGCAAATTACTTATTTTCTGGGTTTCAGAATCTTATTTATAAATTGGGATGCTTAGACTGTTTGACCTCTAAGTTCTTTTTTTTGTTGTTTTTTTAACATCAAGGTGGTATGATTCCATGCTTTTACTGATTTTTGTCCCCTTTCATAAGTCCCTCTTTAGTGTAAGCAGAAATTTTGACTCACTAGAAAAATGACAAATTTGGGTTTTTGGGGTTTTTTTTAATAAAGATTTTAATGGGGAATTGGGGAAGGAGAACAGACAAGTTGCTGTCCTTTTGTTCTTCAGTCTAGTTGTGGAGGACGTCGCTTCACTGGCCCATGTTGGTATTATCATTGCATTCTTCCCGGGAGAGACAGATCAGTCACCAGCCCCTGGATGGCCACTCACGGCAGCTCTTGGCAGCTCCCACCAGCTGTCAGCCGCTCACACTGGCTGTCGGCCACTCACAGTAGCTTATGGCAGCCCACTACAGCTTCACTGCAGCCTACACTGTTGCCAGCCACTTACGGCAATCTAGCTCCAGGTCGAGCTGTTGTTCACCATCTTAGCTGTAGAGAGCACAGCGTCACTGGCCCTCATGTGGGATCCGAACCGGGTCCCTGCTGCTCAGAGCTGGCGTCCCAAGCCAACTCTTAACCAATGTGCCACTCAGCTGGCCCGGGTTTTTTTTTTAATCACTTTAATATTTTCCACTTGTAAGCACAGATTTATCAATTAATATGCATAGTAAATGTCATGGAATAAATATAAGAGCCATAAAAAAATTGACCCACTCTGCCACCCAAAAGGCAAGGTTATTGCTGGGGAATGGCTGCCCCAGAGTAAATGGAGTGTGTAGTCATTTCACCTCTTAATTCTGATGCATTACTTAGTTCCATTAAACAAATTAATGTAATATTCCTAGAGTTTTCATTTCCTCGTGGTAAACTAGGGACAATAGTGCTTTCTATACAGAATCACTGTGTAGATTAAGTATGACAATTAATGAATAGTGCTTAACACATACATATATAATTATCAATTTTGTTGAAGGGTTGACATTTCTCACCTTCAAGTTAACTCTGTTTTATAACAGCTTTAAGAAATACACTAAATTTTGTAAGGTTAAAATGGCTTAAACAACATAGGCTTAAAGCCAAATGCTGACAGGGCACAAAATGCAATACAATATAATTAGATTTTCTCCTGTTGGATAAGTAGGCCCAAGGTGATAACATTTGTTATTCTCTTCATAAGACACATATTCCAATAAAACTATGTCACACCTCTCCACTCCTCAACAAGCTGTAATTTTCTTTATCTTTAAACAAATTATAATAATTTTCTTGCTCTCACATGACCTTCCAACACCCTTAATATTTCTTTGATTTCTTTATAACAAAGTCTTTTCAGAGTTACATATAGTTAGTCTCTAGCTCTTCATCTTCTCTTTAAGCCACTCCAATCAGGGACAAGAGACAATCAATTTTGTTCCCATCACCTTACTGAAATTACTTATCAAAGTCACCAGTGATCTCCAGATTTTAAA